CCCCCCCCCCCCCCCCCCCCTTTTTTGCACTGTATTGATGATCTGAGAAGGAATTAGAGTGTTTTTTTATTTAATGTTTGACATGGTAGACCAAGCATCCAGTTAAATTCACATCACCATACTTCGTCTGGCTTCCAAGACAGGCACGTGCATTTAAAAAGGCACAGTTTTCTAATATATTGTGTTTGGAACCAAGAAGAGGTATTACTCCATAGTGTCTGGAGAGTGAGTTTGGGTCTTCTAATGATACTGCAAAGGCAGCCTCCTCTTCCTGATCCCTTAACCAAAGGCAATAGCATCAGAGGGAAGAAATGAAGGATCAAAGGTTAGATGCTGCTGCATTCACCAGAAGAGGACAGTGGTGAAAAGCACCAACTTAGGTTTAATGAACTATTGATTGATAAATTTATATTCTCTAAATAAATAGGTGGAGCACAGTTAAATCACTTGTCCCCATTTATCTTCCTAATCGCTTAAAAGGTACCATTTTTAATATGACCTCAGTTTTCAAGTTTTGTCTTTTTGTACTACTAATAAGTACTTAACATATATGCAGGTATAGATAGAGGTATATGGCTGTGTATTACCGCAGATATACAGCCTGATGCACTTACAGAACAGGTTTTCAAAGTAATCACAGTCCAATTAGAGACAAGAAAAGCAAAGTCTCCAGTTTGTCTTCTTAGACAAAAATACTGTCTCTTTTGGTTTTACTTTGGAGTTCAGTGTTTAATGGCATGGAGTGCAATAGAAAATGCTATACATAGCTGTATAGCTGAGGTGTGAAAGTTAAAAATGTTTTAGATTATTATGTGTGCGCAGATGCACATTTAATGTGTGGTGGAGAACAGGCACAGTACAAAAGTACAAGTGGGGAGAAACAATTTTGGAAAGATAGAATTCTGAATAAAACTGCACTCAGCAGAGTCAAGCCAAAAGTTTCTTTGTTTAGTAGCATTTGGAGTGAGCTGTCAGGCATGGGCTTTGTTAAACTTGTTCTGTTTGGAGCTCAGACTGTTGTGTTGGAATAGTCGTGCTTCTGTGCAGCAGTTTCAGTTGTAAGAGTTAAAAATTTGTGTGTGCAATAGGTGCAAATGAAGGCTGGAGATAGAGTAATGTTGTGCCGAGTGAGGGGCTGTGAATGGCTCGTTTGTTTTTTCTTAATGAGTTGACAGGAAATATGAAATAAATTTGTGTTCATAATATAGTACAAGAGAAAAATCTGCATGATGACTTTGAAAATGTGGGTTTGAACTATTCTAAGTATGCATTTTTCCCCTTTCTGAACTGTATTTTTTTTAAAAAAATAATTAAATGTTGTTAAAATACCGAAAGCCGATTAAATCACACACTGAAGTTGTTGAAGTCAAAAGTGGAGTCTAATGCATAGACATACTGGTGACGTGTATAAAGTGCAATGAATCCGTGATGAACAAGGTTGTGTGTTTGCTCAGGTATCACTCACTTTGCAAAGTTGTTGCAAATTGCTTGTGGAATCGTGTAAAAATATTTTATTGTAGGAACAGAATGTTTCCAAGATCTGCACAATTTCTGAATTTTTAGAAAATGTGTTTCTTAAGAATTGGAATTTGTTACAAAGGCAAGTAGCTTCTCATTCCACAGCACTGACAGTAAGAAAAAAATTCAGGAGGCATTTAATACTCATATTTTTCTATTGAACTTTTTTGTGAAATACATTAAAAAGCAAAGAAGGTAAACCTGTGGGAATTGTATTCGTTTTGTTATGTGTGTTTTTATTTCACTTGGAAAACAAAAGTGGCTCTTTTTTCATTGGAGTTATGAATGTCAGTATGCATGATTTTAAATGGTAATGCATTTTTGAACTGTGTATTATAATTTTTAAACTAACAGGAAGTTAAAATTGTTTCTCAAAATACCTTTATCTGTACTTTTCCCTCAGAAAATAATATATGAAAGTTGTTCCAAAAGTAACGCATCCTGTTTTGTGATGCTAGCCCATGATGAGTATGTTAGTAAATTTGCAGCAGAGGTTGAACTTTCCCACCAATATTCCATTGCATTTTGTTGCCATGTGACAGATGGCAGCAACAGAGCACACTGACAGAATGGTGTCTGACATGGAAGTGCAGATGGAGCAAAGGTGTGTCACTGAATTCTTCCATGTGGGAAAAATGGCACCAATTGACATTCACTGACACTTGTTGAACATTTCTGGAGACCAGCCAGTGGATGTGAGCACAGTGAGATGGTGCATTTCAGCAGTGGTGGCAGCAACAGTGGGTCATCTCCACTAGTGCAGTATTGTGTGAGCCTGGCATGCAGGCTCTTGTTCATCACTAGAGAATGCAGAGCTAATGGTTGATAGCTAACTGCTGAAGAACAGTCTTCTGTAGCTGAGAATGTGCTCTTTGAAATTTTATTGTTAGTATACTCCTTGTATCTGTTGTCATTTCCATGGAAATAAATGGGAGGCGTTATTTTTGGAGCAACCTGTGTATTTTTTCTATTTAATTTTTTTCACTCATTAATCTTCTTGTTTTCTGTCCTTAAGGTACTTAATTATCTGCAAAATACTGTTTTGTAAAGTAATTATTTCTTTAAACATGCAATCCTTTTCTTCACGTGAATTTTAGGTATGCAATCCCTCCAGAGCATGGGAAACGGCTTGAACGACTGGCTCAAGGTAATATTTTCAGTGTTTCTGTATGTGAGACATTTGAAGGACAAGTCTCCAGCAAATTGAAAAACGTCCTCTACTGAACTACTGTGCTTTATTAGTTCTTAGCCAGGAACTGACAAAGCCAGGAACGCCTTTTAATACTCTAAGGAATTTTAAGGGCGCAAAGTAAGCCTTTTTCTTACTACTTTATTTTGTAGTGGCATTTTTAGGTTGATCCTGTTTGTGAAAATAACACAACATTTTGTCCTTTTTGTTCATTAGATTTTCATTGCAAATATCTTTGCCTCTTTCCATGCCCTTGCTTTTCCTTACCATAGTTTCTTGCCATCGGAAGCTTTTGAATTTATAGTCAATTGTAGTTAAATTTGGTTCAAAGAAAGAAATGTTTAAGAGAACTGTGTTTTCTGAAGTTCCACAGAAGTGGAGTGGAATGTCAGGATAGAGAAGGGAAACTTAGTACCTCTGAGAAGGGGTGGCTCACAAAATACACTAGCTGTAAATCTTATTTATAGCAGCCTACTGGCCAACGAGCAGCATAATAATGTACACTAATTCCCCAAAGCATGTAGTGACTTGTGCTCTCCGAAGGTGTGAGGAACATCTTTTGAGAAGAAGCAGAGAATATTGTGGGCATGGGGTCTAAAGAATAAAGAAGGATAATTTATAGAAAAATGTTTCTTGCACAGTTATTTGTTTTATTTTAAATAACAACTACAGAACTCCTCTTATTTCTAGATCGAGTAGTACATATGAACACAGGAATAATTAGGCGTGTTTCTAGACCTGCAGCCTATGTTTTATAGCCTGCTATTGATGATACTATATAAGGAATGCCAGAGGGGTTGTGGATGCCCCTAGGGGCATTTGAGGCCAGGCTGGAGGAGGCTCTGGGCAACCTGGTCTAGTGATTGGTGACTCTGCCCACGGCAGTAAGTTGAAACTAGATGATCTTCGAGGTCCTTTTCATTCCTGCCCGTTCTGTGATTCTGTGACTCTATGAATACCACTGAAAGCTGATAATTAGATGTTGTGTATCTGGACAGTCTTCTGAAAACACTTGTTCATTTTCTTTTCATATCTATTTTATGCACATATATATGCATGGCAGTTTTTATGAGCAATAATTAAACTAGTTATTGAGAACAATAATATCATGTGTATCACTGAGATGTGAGGGTAAAGACAAGAGCTTGCAGCCTTAAAAGCACAGATTAAAAAGGCAGATTTCAACCTGGATAATTGCTATCATTATTCTGAAATTTCCCACATGAAAACTGAGAGAGTTTCTGCTGAGAGAGTTGTCATGTATTTCTGATTTCCACATCTTTAGTTTATCACCTGCAAAGTATAAAATTATTCTTGTGTCTATGTTGAAGGTTCTGATTTTCACTGGTAAGTATTTTGAGGCATGTGGTAGACCAGGCGAATCCCAGTTCCCTCAGCCTCTCCTCATAAGACTTGTGCTCCAGACCCCTCACTAGCTTCATTGCCCTTCTCTGGACATGATCCAGGACCTCAATGTCTTTCTCTTAGTGAGGGGCTGAAAACTGAACACAGTACTCAACGTGTGGCCTCACCAAGGCTGGGCACAGAGGGACAATTACTTCCTTTCTTGTGCTGGCAGCACTATTTCTGATGCAAGCCAGGATGCCATTGCCCACCTTGGCCACCATGGCACACTGCTTGCTCATTGACCAATACCTGCAACCACTCTGCCCCAAGCCTGTAGCATTCCCTGGGGTTCTTGTGGCCAAAGTGCAGGACCCAGCACGTGGCCTTTGTCCCACTAGCCTCAGTCTGGTGACCCAGCCTGTCCAGATCCCACTGTATGGCCTTGCTACCCGCCAGGCAGATCAACAGCCAACTTGGTGTCATCTGCAGACTTACTGAGGGTGCACCGAATGCCCTCATCCAGGTGATCAATAAAGATATTGAAGAGGACAGGCCCCAGTAGCAACCCCTAGGGAACACCACTCCTGACTGGTCGCCAGTTGGATTTAGCTCCATTCACCACCACTCTCTGGGCCTGGCCTTCCAGCCAGTTCTTCAGCCAGCAAATCTTTGATCCACACCTTGATTACTCAGGAGAAGCAAAGATTTGATGTATTTAAAATCTTCTGTACGTCCACTTTTGATGTTTACTGGGAAGATGGTATTTGGGTTGATAGAATTTTTACTTGATACGGTTGAGCTGCTTTCAATCATACTATAGGATTTCACATTGACTGCTTATAGCTGTGCAGCAGTTTATTGCTAACTCTTCAGGTTTATGCATTCTGTAAACTAGTGTGTGCTCAACACTTTTTTTTGAGGGCAAGGAAAGCGAATGGGCAATTTCAGCAACATTTGTTCATTCCTTTTTAAGAAGTAAGTGCGAGTGATGGGTACCATTGTTTGGAGCAGACTAAAAAAACTCAGTTTTTTCTTTGACATACTGTAGTTTACTCAGATATGGGGGTAACCTGTACAAATTCAGGAACTAGGTAACTTTTTGAGAGACGTGCTTTGCTACACCTTTAAAAAAATAAGTTCACATTTTCATGGGAACTTATGACGTTGCTTAGTGTAAATTTCTATAAGAAAATACTGTGTTAGCAGATGAGGTCCTGAGATTTCTCAGGGCTCTTACTGCTGCTAACGGTGGCTTACTGTGTAGGAGGAGTGGGACGTAGAAACATGGGGAAGTTGTGGAAATCTCCAGAAACATGGTATGTTGGAAGCTGGTAGGACACGTGGTGTGGGGAGTAGTGTCTCAGTCAGAATTGGCAATAAGCTAAATGAGACCTTCTTCTCAGTACAGCAGTATCACTCAACAGTTCTTAGGACAAGAACCAGTGAAAGTATTGTAGGACAGGCAGAGCTCAGGCCTGAGTAATACTGGCTTACACATTTTTCCACAGATGGGAGCAGTAACCTACCCATGCTTCATAATAGCTTTGTTTAATGAAGCTGCCCGAGCATGTCAAATCAGCATTTTCAGTGCGCACCTGCATGGAAGTTGGCAACTACTGCTGATAAGCGTATGACAGTACATGCTACAAGGATGTGTAGTGAATACAAATCTGCATTCCTTGCTGAATCAGAATAAGTATGATCGAAACTTTATTATTTTTATTTCAGAACTGGGTTTTGAACAGTGAGTATCAAATTGAAAATAGAATCAGATGTTGAACAATGAAAGTCACATTTTGGATAGTATTTTTATCTGTTATATTCAGGGAATGAAGGTAGATTTCTGTAGGAGAGCTACATGCTCATACATAGGTTTTTATTGTTACAGAAGGTAGGTGTGTTAGTTTTACAGACAGATACCTCCAACATTTCCTGCTTTCAGTGTTTGACTCTAATATCTTCTACGTTGTTTTTCATCGAGTAGGCTGCTTTTGTGATATCTTTGATCCAACTAGTAGTGTGGAAGATACAGTTCTTAAGATGTTGAGCTTTATATTCACCTTGACATATTTTTCACTTGTTTTTGTTTGTATTCTTCTATTTCTGATTATTTCCCTGTTTAAGAAGACTAAGTCTTCTGTGGTCTTCTACTTTGCAGCTGCTGCCTGCTGCAATACAGTCTGAATTTTACAGTAGGGTATATTGAAAAGGTGAATATACAGAGTAATCTACATGGCAGCAATTCAGTTAATAAGAAAAGTTCATAGAAGATAGCATAATTGAGACTTAGTGCTTAATTACGTGTGTATTAAAAAATTTCAGTTGTACTTTTACAAGTGTGTAACGTGAAGAAAAGTAGTTTATGCAAGAAGGCTGATGACTGACTAATTCTTACTAAGTTAATCGAATGCTCCTATAGTAATAAAAATAATAAAACGTTACATTAATTGTGGCAAGTTGTCTAAGTCAAGGCAACAGTTGATACATTAAAATTAAAGGAAGGCTAGAATATTTTCCATTAACTTGTCTACATGTCACAATTATCACACATGCCTTTTGTGCATGAATGCTTTCGTCTTTGCTTTCCACTGAAGTCTTGATTGACTGTGGCACCTACAAATATTTTATTTGAAATACATTAGACTTGAATCTAATCAAGGCAGCAGTTTGATTTTACCCTTCAGCTGCTTACTCATTTATGTAAGTTTTTTTCAGTTTTTTGTAGACATAAATGTAATAAGAATCTCAAGTGAGCTGTTACTGCAATTTTTGTATGTGTTACGTTGATCTGTAATATTATGGTATTCTTAGGGATTTCTCATTTTGTAAAATGAGTTGGAAAATAAAGAGAATCACAGATGACATTTTCAAGGATTTCAAGTTCTTTTAATAGTTGACTTAATTGCGGAAATTATTTTAGAGAGCAAGTGGCATTTATCTGGTATTTAATTATGTTCAAGAAGAAATTAAAGTAAAATTTGACCTAAGTATATAGTGATACTATAAAAAGCTTTGTATGGTATATGGCATTAATTAGTCTGCTTCATGGAGAAGTCATTACCTTTTACATAAGAAAATAAGTCGAAATAGTTTTTTGAATGAAAATTGACATAGAGCTTGCATAACTTGTAAGAGTCTCAAGTATGAAAGCTGCAGCAGCTGAGAAATTTAACTTTTTCCTAATTGATAGTTATATGAGTCAAGTTAGGAAAGTCGTATCTAAGAAATAATAAATGCAAGTCCGTAACATATTCATCTGGATATAATAACACTCGTATTTCACAGCACTTCATTTGTGGCTTTTGTACTCTCTGGTTTATATGTCATACAAATTCTTCTTTGTGAGAATGTTCTCCCACTTACTTAAAAGAAGCGTGCAGTACATAAAGGTAAATAAAATGAAGTCAGATCACTACAAACTCACTTTAATAAGTTACATTGTTTTTATTTATACCCACAAAAGTAAATATAGAAAATATACTAGAAAACTTTGTCCTCCTTTTGTGTTTGCCAGTGTTCCAAGAGGAATTCTTGTAAGTAGTGAATTACGAGTATTTTGTGTGTTCTGAAGTCCTTCAAATGAACATCCGTGATTTATATACATTAAAAAA